TAAAGATTTTATTGGGGAATTGGGGGAGGGGGAACAGACAAGTTGCTGTTGTTTTGTTCTTCAGTCTAGTTGTGGAGGATGTTGCTTTACTGGCCCAAGCTGGCACCATCATTGCGCTCTTCCCAGGCAAGGCAGATCAGTCGCTGGCCTCTGGACTGCCACTCACGGCAGCTACTGGCCGCTCACACTGGCTGCCGGCCACACACGGTAGCCCATGGCAGCCCACTGCAGCAGGGGACTGCAGCCTACGCCATCACCAGCGACGCACGGCAGCCCAGCTCCGGGTTGAGCTGTTGTTCAGCATCTTAGCTATAGAGGGCAATGTCACTGGCCCTCAAATGTGGGATCCGAACCGGGGCCCTCTGGCATTCCAAGCCAGTTCTTAACTAATGTGCCACTTGGCCGGCCCGCTTCAAGAATTTTTGACGGGTGATCAAACTTGTGTGTGGTCTCGTGTTGTGGCGATAGAACACAACTCCTTTACAATTAACAAGCTCTGAACCTTTCTGGATGATGGGTTCATTCAAACTGTCCAATTGCTAACAGTACACATTCGAATTGATTGTTTGGTTCCTTGGTAGGAGCTTGAAAAACATGACACCTTTAAAATCCCACCACACTGAGAGCATAACCTTCCTCGGATGAATGTCTGCTTTCGATGTTGTTTAAGGCGAATCATCACGTTGGGATCAAGACCGTTTGCACACCACATTGTTGTAAACAATCCACTTCTCATCACCAGTTATCAGTCGCTTCGAAAAAGGATAATTTTCCTCACGTTTAATGAGCATATTGCAAATGTTTATACGCGCCATCAAATGAACTTCTTTGAGTGCATGCAGAGTCCAAATATTGAGCTTGCTTATGTATCCCAGCTTCTTCAGATGGTCGTGAACACTTGTATGATGGATGCTCAATGTTTCTGCAATCTCTCGTGCCATGTAATGTGGGTTTGGCTTGATCAATGCCTTTATTTTGTTGTCATCAACTTCGGTGGGCCTCCCTGACTGAGGAGGGTTATTGAGATCAAAATCACCAGCACAGAATTTCGTGAACCATCGATGACACTGATGTTCTTATAGAGCATTGTCACCGTAAATTTTATACAACTTTTCACAAGCTTGACACACGTTCTTCCCTTTATGGAAGTAAAACAGTAAAATATGGCAAAAATGCA